TTTCTAAATAAAAATAATATTCGATAGCAAGAAAAATGAAGTCTAGTATTATAATACCTGAAGATGAAAGGCAAAATTCACCTTATATTTTAATGCTATGACTTTTTTGACAGAGGAAATAGGAACACTTGGTAATTGAGAAACCAATCAAATCAAAATGAATGTGAATACTTCTAACTTCTCCAAATTTATTCAAAATACCTCTTGAAGAGTTTTCTTGGAGGTACAATGCTAAACCTTTGCTGGCACATGGAAACATGTTTCTGCTCCTCCCAGATTTAGCCCCCTTATTTTGTGATGACACAAGGCACATATAAAAATATCTATATTTTAATTTCTCTATTTCATCCTGTTGCAGTCTTCTGCATACTCCAGCCTGCATTTAGCCAAACGAGAGTTCTAGTGATTTGATGGCATCTGACCTAATGTCTGCATACAGAAGCATTAACCATCATCTTTTCAGCAGAACCTACCCTAATCCTGTGGATTGGTTGGGCTTTAGATTTCTCCTGGGTTCAGCTGATGATTTTAAATGGCAAAGAATTTAATTGCAAAAGGTAATGATGCAGCGAGCATAAGATTAGTTTCACCACAGAAGGTAAGGCCCTCAAAACAATAATAAAGGAATTGGTCAAAAGGACAGGAGAAGCTTATCTTACTGCAAATACAGGCAAATATTCCTGTGTTAATTACCGTAATGAAGAAACTCAAACGTCTTAACAAAAAATTTTAAAAGAAAAAAAATTGACAGAAAATTAAACTGTACAGTAAGCTATGGTTAGCAAATGTTTCCAGCGACAGGTTGATCAGATAATTTACAGACTGAATACCCAGTAATTTTATTACAAAGCAGCTCTAAGTACATTGGGAACCCTAAACTTCTTCAGATCAGTTCTAATTAAAACAATGAGACTTGTAACTTCCAGGCAGATAGAGGAGATATATCCAATAAAAGGTTAAATACCTCAAGTTTTGATCAATGCATGCAAGCAGAAATTTTGACGTGTAAAATTTTCAAGATACATATATTTCAAGTTTTTCCCCTGGCACTATGCCTGAATTTTAGAATTCTTCCATGAAAAGTGCATAAAGGTTAGAATTGGGGTTACTTCTGGTGATTAATACTAGTATTGCCTATAATGGATACATCTCCAAAAGGAAGCTACTGAAATGGGTTCTTCAAATGGGAAGACTGCACAATTTAATGAATACTCCTTAATTTGTGAATTACATATACAAATATTTGTGTAACAGAGTAAGGAGATTAATTTTGAGGAAAGGAACAGTAAAAAGAAGATATTTATCTGAACATGACAAATTTTAGTAAATATATTTCAAGTAAAATAACATGAGACAGAACAAAGAACACAGCATTCATTAGAAGATTCACATGCATACATTAAAGAGAGACTGGTAATAGACTAGATAGCATCCCAAAAGAAAATACATTTCATATAGATTTGAACTACGAAGAAATATGGTAACTTTGAGATTGTCACAACAGTGGGAAAAATAACTAACATTCAAAAGAAATTCAAGCAGGAAAAGACAGAGCCACCCAAAGAGAGAAAAGAGGAGAAAGGAAAAATGCTTAGTAGTCTTGCAGACCTAGCACTTCAGAGACATGAAGAGCTATAGCATACAAGCAGAATTGTCCTAAAAAGCAATTTTTCAACAGATTTAAAGAAGGCATTCTAAAGAAGTGTGTTTGCTATGTATGTATTAGAAAAGAAATAATGCATCTTAATAAGAGTAATGTAAATCCAACAGATACAACGCCCAGACAAGCTTCTGGAGGCTAGACTTCCATCTTCTCTGCTCCTTCCATCAGTATTTATGCACACTCATTAGATTCTCCCTTGAGCCTTCTCTTAACCTTCTTCACCATCCTTTGCTGGACTCACTCCAGTAAGTCCATGTCTCTCTTGTACTGGGGAGCCCAGAACTGGACGCAGCAATCCAGATGTGGCCTCATCATTGCTGTGCAGAGGGGAAGGATCACAACGGGCTGGTAAGGCTCTTCTTAACGCAGGCCAGGATACTCTTGGCTGTCTTTGCTATGAGGGTGCATTGCTGGCTCATGGTCAACATGTTGTCCACCAGGACGCCCAGGGCCTTTTTCTGAAAAGCTGCTTCCTAGAGGCAGTTGACCTCCAGCATATACTGGTTCAAGGGGTTATTCTTTTCCGGGTGCAGGACTTTGCATTTCCCATTGCTGAACTTCTTGTGGTTCCTCTTTGCCCAATTCTCCAGCCTGTAAAGGTCCCTATGAACGGCAGTGCAACTTTCTGATGTATCAACTGATTCCCCCAGTTTTGTAGCATCTGCAGAGTTGCTGAGGGTGCATTCATTTAGTCCCTCCAGCCAGGTCATTAATGAAGAGGTTAAACAGCATTAGCCCACCTGTCAACACCTGGAATACTCCATTAGTGACTAGCCTCCAGCTGGACTTCATGCCACTGATCACAACCCTTTGAGCCCAGCAGTTCAGCCAGTTTTCAATGCATCTCACAACTACTTAACTATACTGCACTTCAAAGTTTCTCTACCAGGATGTCACGGAATTTACGTCAAAAGCCTTACTACAGTTGAGACAACATCCACTGCTCTCCCTTCATCCACCATGATATTCATCTCATTGCAGAATGCTATCAGGTTAGCTAAGAATGATTTCCCCTTCATGAATCCATGCTGACTACTCCCAGTCACCTTCGTGTCCTTCACATGTCTGGAAATAGTATCCAGGATTAGTTGCTCCACCACCTTCCCAGGGATCAAGGTGAGGCTGAGGTCTTGTAGTTCTCCAGATCCTCCTACTTGCCCTTTTTAAAGACAAGGGTGGCATTTGCTTTTTTCTAGTCCTCAGAAAACTTCCTCCGTCACTGTGATCTTTCAAAGATGATCAAGAGTGGCCTTGCAATGATATCGACCAGCTCCCTCTGCACTCATTGGTATATCTGGTCAGGTCCCAAGGACTTGTCCATATCCATTTTGCTTAATGTTTCCTAATGCTCTGTGAAAGAGGATCAGGTAAGGCTGACGCTCCAGAGGTCCCTTCCAACCTAAACGATTCTGTGATTCTGTGATTCCTGACTTTCCCACTGGTCTCGGGGGCCTGGGATTCCTGAAGGCCAATCTTACCAGCAAAGACAGTAGTGAAGAGGCATTGAAAAGGCTCAGCCTTTTCCACGTCCCTTGTCGCCAGGGCCCCTGCTCCATTCAGCCGGAGGCTCATATTTTTGAAGCCTTTTCTTGTTGCCCTTCCTGATCCTCACCAGGTTCACCTCCAGATGGGCTCTGGCTTTCCTAATCTCATCCCTGAATGCTCGGACAATGTCTCTATATTCCCCTTGGGTCACCTGTCCTTTCTTCCGTCCCTTGTACGCTTCCTTTTTATGTCTGAGTTTAGTCAGGAGCTCCTTGTTTATCCATCAATGTTGATACTAAGCAAACTAATAACAACCTGAGGCTTCATCTGCTTAGTCACGTGCCACAACAAGAAAAAGTTTAGAAAAACAGTGTTTTGACTCCAAGCAACCGCTAGCTGAAAAATCTGGTTCTGAAACATCCAAGAAGAGAAACTAACGCTGAATAAGTCAAACTGAAGAGTTAATTCAAGAAGTGACAACAGATCAACTAAATAGTAACAATGATGCCATAACCAGTTTCCACTTCTAAGGACAAATACTGACAAAGAAATGACTCCATGCAGAATCATTCAAGGATTTCTATATGCAATCCACATCAATATACTTAAACAAGCAAACTTTTGTTTATTATCTATAAAAGGTGACAAAGTTAGATCGAAATCTGGACCAATGACACCCTATTATTTATATTCCTGAATATCAGAGACGATGAATTTAGTAATGAATGAAGTAATCTGAATACACAGTATGGCAGTAAATTAAATTAATACTGAGAACCCAAAGCAGTGCACAGTAAGTGGGGAAGTTTATATTATGCATACAGCAAAGGGTTCTAAATTAAGTAGAGGGATGCGAGGCCAACATGGTTTAATGTACTAGCACAGAGAATAATACTGTTCCTACAAGCCAGCGGATGTTGCCTCACCAGGAACACTTTATAGACCATTAATCATTACCTGAATTAGGTAACCTTCTACTTCATTGATCTAGGATTCCCCCTCCCCCCTTCCACATATTGATCAAGTTATCATTGCTTTAGATTATTTGCTCTAGAATCACTAAGAGAATTAAGGGCAATTCAAGAGGCGGGAAAACATGCAACTACTAGCAACAGATATAAAATACTAAGTTAAGTGACCTTCTCTGAAACACTCACATTCAATACAGTACTCATTTCTCCCACCCATGTTCAAGTCATAGCCTCCATTAGCAACAATATTTTTGAAGAATCTTTAAGCAAGGAGTAGTTAAAAGATTAGCAAATTTTAGGTTAGCGAATTTGTGCTTTATACTATATTCAAGTATATTATCATTTGTTAACAGTTTTTCTTACCACAGCTTTGGCTGAACTTTCTTGCAAATCCCACAATAATATGTTATTATCAGCCAGTGAAATAAGCCTTTTACCGTCTCCCATTGGTTCCCACATAACACTGTAAAGCAAAAACAGAAAATGAAAAAAAACAAACAAATATTAAAACTAATAGAATTTGCAATGGGAAGCTGTTTTAATCTTGTGGACCTAATCTGTTTCCAAATGCATTAAACCATTTTCCTTATGTTTTTTTTCAGCAGAAATTGGTCCCATGTTTCAAGTGAAAAAGCTACCATTAATTAGCGATCTAGCAAATTTTACATATACTATATGAATGTTACTGCAGAATCAGTTACTTAGAAGTTATGTGATACTAAAAATAAGCTTGCTTAGGCAAACTTTGTCAGCTCTAGCACTTTTTTGAGAGCCCTTTGACATCCCAGCCCAAATCCGTGCCAGAAAAAGGAACACAATCCAGCTTTTCTAGATGCTAGCCTAATCATAAGACAGCTTCTTGAAATCCTCTACTCCATTTGCCATCCGCTCCATATATTGAATGATGAAGTGATCATGCAAAATAAATAGTAATTAGGTCACAAGTCATAGCACATACGTGCAAAGGATCAGAAGAAAGGCCTTTTGACATACACTTACTTTTTAATACTTAACTTGAAATCTTAAAGTTCTTTATATGTCATTTCATGCATCCTTTCTGCAGATGCACCAAAAAATCATAAGCCTCAGAGCTCTGATGCAAACCTCTTCCAATTCAGTAGCTGGTCATCATGGGTATCTCAAACAATATACTCTTCCTTCATATGACTCACCCCTTTGGTGCTACGTATGAAGGAATAAAATTAAAAAAAAAAAAGTGCTCATCTCTGTTCCTGCCCATGAGAAGCAGCAAAGTCTAGCCAGCTGGTACAGGCAGCACACCTAAGTATATAGTATACCTCTAAAACATTTGCTGAGATGACAGTAAGGCTAAAAGAACAATACTTGCTATTTAATAAGAATAGCCTTCCATACCCCATACTTCTGAAAAATAAAATTATGCCACCTCCTAATTAACTTGTAGTAACACAATATACTAAATGCAGAGAACACAAATTTAATAAAAATAGCAACATGAAATAACTTTCTCCCATCCCTAGACAAAAAAGCTTAAGTTATTCAAAAGCAATGTGCCAGTGGCATTTGATATGCTATCCTCATCCTCAGTGCATATGTGAAGAGATCTCTCTCAAGGTTTGTCAAGAGTCCATCACTAGGTGTAAACGTTCCATTCCGTTCAGCTTTTTGCATGAATCAATTCAAACTCTTGATTGAAGAGATGAAACAGATGTAGACACAGCCTTGGGCAAGTGAGCCTAATATTAGGCAGCCACCAGCTACCTTCCTAACTTGGGACTGCACTCTACACACGTTTATATTTTATCCCCAAATTTGCATTACTCCTACCTCCCTATGATTGCAGCTATGATCTGGCTAGCCCCACATCTAAAGCATAGGACTCCTTCATCCTGTCTTATACCACAAAAAGTGAGGAAAGGAAACAAGAGGCAACAGAACAAAGCGAAACAGTGCAATCTCCCTCTGCACACCATAAATGAAATACAACCTCAGTTATTCTCAGCTGAGATCTTCCAGTCAAAATCCACTTCACTTCTTCCACAAAGAAACAGTTTCATTCCTTTTAACTCCGCTTTGTTAGCGGAGCAAGAATTCAGACATACAGACAGATGCCTGCAGCTGTTTGCTGTTATAGAGAGGCCAGGTTACCCAGAGGAGAGAAGACTACACAAAAAAATTAACACAAAGCAGACTAAAAAAGCTTAAGCTGTAATTGCTGACTCCTCACCCACCAAACTTCTCCCTATGGTAAAGGAGCAGATCAAAGAAGGACTAGCTCCTGCATCTAGCTTCTGCTGGAACCATGACCTGCATCCTTATCATGTTGTGAATTCAAGGAAACTAACTACCTGAAGATCATTTGTAATGAGCTTTGTCATATTAGGACAAAAATCACTTCATTTAGCACATTAAGCTACCATCATGCTTTTACATGTATGTCAAGAAGCATATGGAACTAGAACGATCTTCTGATTTCTTCTAAAGTAAGTTGTTTTGCTTGTATTATTGCCAGTCTTATTTTCAGAAGTGTTTCTTATTAAAGTTGTATGTTACAACTTGGGAAACTTATGAGCAACGCAAAACAAATGTTGATAATAAAAACAATTAAGTGGTTTCAGTTACAGGTTCAACTACCATTTTGCTTATAACAGTTACAAGTAAGCAGCTGCCACTGACATGAAAGTTTCAGACCTCCATACACTTCTGCCCTGATAGACCCTTGAAAAAGATGAACATACACAATGTTCATCATCATGAACTCTATGAACATACACAATACGATAAAATGTTAATGCATTATAACTCACCTCTGATCACACTCACCCCTAACTTTCCACCATCCACTTTCCCAAAGCAAAATCAAAAGACAGGAGAATCTTCACTCCTGAACGGATAATTGAAGAATATTCAAATTGATTTTGACTGTGACATAAGCTTTTATTTTTAATTCCATCATTTTTCATACCTATTGCCGAAAGTATAATTTTGGGGCATTTTGTGTCGAAATATGTACATATACTTTTAACCAGACAATGAAATCTTGTTTGACCAATTAACCCTTCTAACCCGATCGACCAATATTCCTTATTCCTGTTGATGTGTTTGCCCCTTTCTTGCACTGATCACTGAGTTTTCAGGCATAAAAGCTAGACTGGAAGCACCTTCTTTGATGTTTTTAAAGGTAGAATGAAATTTCACATCTTTGAGTGTAACTGAGCTGCAAGGTAAAGAATTTTTATAGCTAAACAGAGTGTGCTAATTACAGCCAATTATAACCCAGCTGACATACCTTAGAATGAAAAGGTCTCCAGCACATTCACTCTGTCCTTGTGAGATGCCCATTCTGCTTCTATTTAATTTACCTTACATGAAAGTTCATTGTTTCATGGGTGTGGTGGTAGTGATCATTCAGATTTTATAATCTAAATGAAGGTTACTCAAATCATTCTTTGCAACACTTTAAGCTGTACTCCGTAGTCACGATTGAAAGTTAAACATATTATAAGAAACTGCGGAGAAGGAGAAGAACGCTGGCAAGTGAAAAAAAACACCTTGTTTTCAAAGCAAGATATACGTTTTAAAGAGACTGAAGTTCTTATTTTAAATAATTTTTAGATAGGTCAGTGAAGGTCATTATAATCTTTAAAAAGGAAAACAGATAAACCAGGCAATACCACTTTCGTGAGCCTGCCAGCAGTTGTGGATGCTTACAGTTTTCTAAAATGGACCAGATACTTGTCACGTTCATAGCTGCCACTCAGAAACCGAGTGTCAACGTCGCTGCTGCTCTTTAGATAATCTATAGACAGCAGACAAGCAATTATATTTGTTGTCTTTTGCCCTGTTTTGTTATCAACTGACCCCTGGTGTATCAAATTAGCTTCTAGCTATTATTTTTGGTAAAAATCTATATCCTGTGGGGAACATTTTTCTAGCAAAGAAAAAAGAGAATTTAAAATATTCAAATGCACACATAAGTGGACTGTGTTATCTGTGTTTTATGGTGAAAAGATAGTTAACACCATCCTTTACACTAATGTACTGAGCTTTTACAATGGAACAATTCAAAATTCTCTATTATAAGACTAAAGTAACATACAATCCCTTTTGTGGATGTAAACTGAAGTCAGCCACGACACATTGGACAAAGCAAGCTTTAACCAATGTTTAACCACAACTACAGAAATAACAACCATTTATTTCTATAAGTGGAAAGATTTTTTCTGGTTTGAAATTCTCATGCACTGCAAAGTAGAAAATCTACCCAAACGCTAGGTAAATTAGAAAGCGGGGCATACTGCAGCATCAACGTAGCCAGTCAGAAAAGTTCACATCTTATGGACCCAAACGTCCTCCTTTCTTTGCAGTACAGTGATTCAAATTTAAATGCCAGTCTGTCATCTGGCAACGTGGACATTATTCTAAGAACAAGCAGATCAAACTAAGGAGGGCCTAGAATCTGCAACTTTTCATCCTTACACAAGTGGGCCCTATAGATTGGCCACATTTTAAAATGAAAACAGTTCTGGCTAATTTGTAATGTACTGACGTGCATACTGCTGGCAGCATGTTAAGTGCACGTAAGTTACACTTTAAGCCTCAAAACTCTCAGTCATTTAAGTGTATTTTTGTGTCCAGCTGCTCAGAACATAGTGGAACAAGAACCATAGCTTCCTAAAAATGACCTGAGGTCAAGGTGGATCAATTTATTTTAAGTACTTTTTTTGGTTAAGAGGCTGCTGAGAAGAATGAGGAGGGAAAAAATGCTGACCATTATCTTGGACAAGACCCCCAAAAACACCTACCTTGGGCTTTATTCTGGCTCTTAAATTATCTTCACATTCAGAAAAACATAACTGCTGTGCACATAACTATAAGAGTGTCCCACATGGACGTGACACACAAACAGCATTTCTTACTACCATTTTTTGGAAAAAAAAATCCTTAAAAATTATCATATTACAGTGCTGGCAACCCCAAAAGTTAAAAAAAATAAATAAATAAAATCGAATCAAACAGCAGAATGCAAAATACCGAAGCATCAGCCTAAATATTTGCATTTACTCCATCACATCTGTGTCTAATGCTGCTGTGTAATTAAACAGTAGAGAGCTCAATCAATTTCAGTGCTGAAAAGATTTATGCGTACATATAAACATAATACAATCTAACAGAAAGCATAGTAATGAATTTGTTGTATGAAAGCAAGGTATAAGACTCAAATTCATTTTAGGTAGGGGCCCCAAAAATCCATTTTGTAGAAACATCTGTTAAATTTCCGCTAAGCTACTCATGATTTAAGGTGATGATGATCAATAGGTGAATACCTCTACAATTCATTAACAACCTCAGGCTTGCGTCTGTTTGGCTGCGGGCATAGGTGTTAATGTTTAATACTGCTTAAGACAGAAAAGCGAAACTGTGTGAGCCTATTACACAAACTCCACATATGAACTAAACTGACAAAGCTGTCACTGGTAAAAC